AAAGGGGTTTAGAGGACAAGTACAACATAATAAGGGCCATATATGATAAATCCACAGCCAACATACTTAACAGCAAAAAGCTGAAAGGTTTTCCTTTAAGATTGGGAATAAGACAAGGATGCCCACTCTCCCTGCTTTTATTCAACACAACACTGGAGGTCCTAGCCATGCAATCAAACAACACAAAGAAATAAAAGGCATCTTGATTGGTAAGGAAGGAGTTAAACTGCCACTGTTTGCAGATGACATGATATTGTACATAAAAAATCTGAAGAATCCACCTCAAAACTACTAGAACTGATAACTGAATTTAGCAAAGTTGCAGGATACAAAAATCAATATACAAAATCTGTTGCATTCCTATATACTAGTGATGAACTAGCAGGAAGAGAAAACAGGAACACAATTCCATTTACAATTGCATCAAAAAGAATAAAATACCTAGGAATAAACTTAACCAAGTAGGTGAAAGACCTATACCCTGAAAACTACTAGACACTCATGAGAGAAATTAAAGAAGACACCAATAAATTTAAATACATCCCATGCCCATGGAAAAGAAGAATTAATATTGTCAAAATGACCATCTTGCCTAAAGCAATCTACAGATTCAATGCAATCCCTATCAAAATACCAACAGCATTCTTCAATGAGCTAGAGCAAATAGTTCTAAAATTCATATGGAACCACAAAAGACCCTGAATAGCCAAAGCAATCCTGAGAAGGAAGAATAAATGTGGGAGTACACTCCCCAACTTCAAGCTCTACTACAAAGCCACAATAATCAAGACAATTTGGTGCTGGCAGAAGAACAGATCCATAGACCAATGGAACAGAATAGAGAGCTCAGATATAAACCCAAGCATATATGGTCAATTAATATACTATAAAGGAGCCATGGATATGCAATGGGAAATGACAGCCCCTTCAACCACTGGTGTTGGCAAAACTGGACAGCTGCATGTAAGAGAATGAAACTGGATTATTGTCTAATTCCATACACAAAAGTAAACTCAGAATGGATTGAAGACCTGAATGTAATTCATGAAGCCATAAAACTCTTAGAAGAAAACCTAGGCAAAAATCTCTTGAATATAAATATGAGCAACTTTTTCCTGAACACATCTCCTTGGGCAAGGGAAACAAAATAAAAAATGAACAAATGGGACTACATCAAACTAAAAAGCTTCTGTACAGCAAAGGACACCATCAGTAAAACAAAAAGACATCCTGTAGTACAGGAGGATATATTCATAAATGACATATCTGACAAGGGGTTAACATCCAAAATATATAAAGAACACACATGCTTCAACACCCAAAAAGCAAATAACCCGATTAAAAAATGTGCAGAGGATCTGAATGAACACTTCTCCAATAAAGAAATTCAGATGGCCTACAGGCACATGAAAATATGCTCCACATTGCTGATTATCAGAGAAATGCAAATTAAAACAGCAATGAGATATCACCTCACATCGGTTAGGATGGCCAACATCCAAAAGACAAACAATGGCAAATGCTGGTGAGGATGCACAGAAAGAAATCCTCCTACACTGTTGCTGGGAACCATTGTGGAAAGTAATATGGAGGTTCCTCAAAAAACTAAAAACAGAAATACCATTCAACCCAGGAATTTCACTCCTAATTATTTACCCAAAGAAAACAAGATCACAGATTTAAAAAGACATATGCACTCCTGTGTTTATTGCAGCACTATTTATCAGTAGTCAAGGTATGGAAATAACCTAAGTGTCCATCAGTAGATGAATGGATAAAGAAGAGGTGGTACATATACACAATGGAATACTATTCAGCCATATGAAGAAAACAAATTCTACCATGTGTGACAACATGGATGGAGCTAGAGGGTATTATGCTCAGTGAAATAAGCCAGGCAAAGAAAGACAAGTGCCAAATGATTTCCCTCATTTGTGGAGTTAGTAATGAAGCAAAACTGAAGGAACAGAACAGCAGCAGTCTCACAGACTCCAAGAAGGGACTAGCAGTTACCAAAGGGGAGGGTTCGGGGAGGGTGGATGGGGAGGGAGGGAGAAGGGTGAAAAAGGGGCATTACCATTAGCAGACATAATATAGGGGGGGATACGGGGAAGGCTGTACAACACATAGAAGACAAGTAGTGATTCTATAGCATCTTACTACACTGATGGACAATGACTGTAATAGGGTATGTGGTGGTGATTGATAATGTGGGGAGTCTAGGAACGATAATGTTGCTCTTGTAATTGTAGATTAATGATATCAAAATAAAAAAAAATATATATATATACAAATATAGTAGGCATGAAGACAAACTAATAACAATAGGATTTTTGTGAGTGTTTTAAAATTTTATTTTGGGCATTGTTTCTTTTTTTAAATTATGAAATATGTCAAACACACAGAAAATAAATAACTGATGCCTATATATTCACAGAGCAGATTTTACCGTATTTACTTCATTTTTTTTAAGCTAAAGCTCCAGATAAGTTAAAGCCCTACCCCTTTATATGTTCCCTCTCTTTTTTTCTCATGATAATTACTATCTTTAAGGTGGTACATATTCTTTCCATGCCTATTTGTATACTTCTACTTTGTATGTATGTATCTAATAATGATGTAGTATTATTTGTTTTTATTTTTTATAGTCATTGTTTATTGAAATATTAGTTTATAAGCAATATTATATTGGTTTCAGATGAACAACTTAGTGATTCATCAATTATGTACACTGTTAAACGCATACTGTAATAAGTTTAGTTACAATCTGTCACCATGTAAAGATATTACAATATTATGAGCTCTATTCCCTCTGGTATACTTCCATCCCTATACCAAATTATTTTAAAATTTTAGGTTTATGCCTCTTATCTCCACCTATCTCACCTCCACAACCATGGTAACCTACTGTCTGTTCTCTGTATTTATGAGTCTATTTCTGTTTTGTGTGTTTTGTTTTTCAGATTCCATATATAAGTGAAACCATATGGTATTCATCTTTCTCTGACTTGTTTTACTTAACATGATATCCTTTGGGTCTATCAATGTTGTTACAAATGGCTAGATTTCTTTCTTTTTTATGGCTGAATAATATTACGTTGTATATATGTACAGCATCTTCCTTATCCATTCATCTATTGATGGACACTTAGGTTGCTTCCATATCTTGGCCACTGTGAATAATGCTGCAGTAAACATAGGGATGCATATATCTTCTCAAAATTAATAATTTTGTTTCCTTCAGGTAGATTCCCAGATGTGGAATTGCTGGAGCATATGGTATTTCTTTGAAGTTTTTTGCAAAACTTCCATACTCCTTTCCATGCACTAATTTGCAATCTCACCAGTAGTGTTCCCTTATCTCTGCATCATCACCAACACTTGTTATTTCTTGTCTTGTTGATACTAGCCTTTTTGATGGTGTGAAGTGATGCCTTATTGTAGTATTACCTGATTAGTGATGTTGAGAAACTTTTCACGTGTCTGTTGGCCATCTGTATGTCTTCTTTGGAAAAATGTCTATTCAGGACTTCTGTCCATTTTAAAAATCAGATTCTTTGTTTTTTTGGTGTTGAGTTGTATGAGTTCTTTATGTATTTTGGATGTTAGCTCCTAATCAGGTGTATCATTTTCAAATATATTCTTGCATTCAGTAGGTTGCTTTTTGTTTGGTTGATGGTTTCCTTTCCTGTGCAGAACTTTTTAGTTTGAGGTAGTCCCACTGGTTCATTTTTTCATTTTTTTCCCCTTGATTGAGGAGACTATTACAGAAAAAAAAATTACTAATGCTGATGTTCAAGGGTTTACTGCCTATATTTTCCTCTAGCAGTTTTATGGTTTCAGGTCTTATATTTAGGTCTTTAGTCCATTTTCAGTTTATTTTTATGTATGGTGTAATATCACAGTCTGGTTTTGGTACTAAGATGATGCTAGCCTCATAGAGTGAATTTGAAAGCTTTCCTTCTTCAATGTTTTTTGGAATATTTTGAGTAGGGGAGGTATTAATTCTTCTTCAAATGTTTGATAGAATTCACCTGAGAAACCATCTGGTCCTGAGATTTTGTTTGTTGGGAGTTTTTGATTACCCATGCAATTTCATTACTAATAATTGGTCCCCTTATATTTTCTATTTTTTCCTGGCACATAGAAGATTATATGTTTCAGGAACTTATCCATTTCTTCTAAGTTATCCAATTTGTTGGCATTTAATTTTTCATAATTCTCTTACAGTCATTTGTCATTCTGTGTGTTGGTTGTAACTTCTCTTTTATTTCTGATTTTATTGATTTGAGACCTCTTTTTTTTCATGATGAATCTAGATAAAGGTTTGCCAATTTTATTTATCTTTTCAAGAACAATCTCTTAGTTTCATTGATCCTTTGTAATGTGTTTTTAGTTTCCATTTCATTTATTTCTGCTCTGATCTTTATTATTTCCTTCCTTCTATTAAGTTTGGGCTTTGTTCTTTTTTTCTTGTTTCTTTGAAATTGTTATTGTTTCTTGATGTAGGCCTGTATTGCTATACACTTCCCTCTCAGGGTTGCTTTACCTTCATCCCAAAGAGATCAGACCATTCTATTTCTATTTTCATTATTCTCCAAGTATTTTTTTTATTTCTTCTTTGATTTCTTTGATGACCCATTGGTTGTTTAGTAGATGCTGTTTAGCTGCCATGCATTTATGCTCTTTCTGGTTTTTTTTTTTCTTATAATTGATTTCAAGTTTCATACTATTGTGGCTGGAAAAAATGCTTGTGTGATTTCATTTTTCTTAAATTATCAAGACTTGCTTTATGGCCTAACATGTGATCTATCCTGGAGAATATTCTATGTGCGCTTGAAAAGAATGTGCATTCTACTCTTTTGGGATGTAATATTCTGTATATATCTATTAATTCCCTTTAGTGTAATGTTTCATTCAATCCTATTATTTCCTTGTTGATTCTCTGTCTGGATGTTCTATCCATTGATGTAAATGGAGCATTACCGACCCCTGCTATTATGCTCGCTTCAACAACACATGCACTAAAATTGGAATGACGCAGAGAAGATTAGCATCGCCTCTGCACAAGGATGACACAAATTTGTCAAGCATTTTATATATAAAAAAATCTCCTATTATTATTATATTACTGTTAGTCTCTCCCTTTATATCTGTTAATATTTGCTTTATATATTTAGGTGCTCCTCTGTTGGGTGTGTAGATGTTTACAATTGTTATATCTTTTTTGCTGGTTTGTGCCTTTAATTATTATATAATATCCTTCTATGTGTCTTGTTAGTCTTTGCTTTAAAGTCTATTTTTTTCTGATAGAAGTATTGCTACTCCAGCTTTTTTTTTTCCATTCCGATTTGTGTGGAATATCTTTTTCCAACCTTAATTTTCAGTCTGTGTGTATCTTCAGGTATAAAGTGAGTTTCTTGTAGGAAGCAAATAGATGGATCTTGATTTTTTTTATCCATTTAGTCATCCCATGTCTTTTGATTGGAACATTTAGTCCATTCAGATTTAAAATTATGATTGACAGGTTGTAGTTACTGCCATTTTGTTAATGTTTCTGGTTATTTTTGTTGTTCTTTGCTTCTCTTGCTTTCCCCTGTGCATTATGACTGTCTTTAGTGCTATGTTTGGATTTGTTTTTTTCTCAACTCTCAAAAATGCTTCATCATTCTCACAGTCATCTAATTTAGAGGCAGTGGAACAAACCCAAGAAATAACTTTATTCTAGTCTACAGCACAAGGTTTTACATACATCTTAGTGGTTTTGACAGTGCTACTTTTGAACAAACTTTAAACGAATCCACAAAAGTTATATTAAAACACACAATAAAACAACAGGCATGCAGATGTTCAGAGTCATACAGAGAGGTCTTGTTGGTGTTTTCATTGGGTACCTTGCCTATTTTAAGAATTCACCAACAAGTATTAGTTCTTCTGTTCCTCATTCCCATATAACTCACCAAAATCAGTGAGTTCTAAACACACACCCACAAAACAAACCATTTTAAAGCCACATTAGTACAAAATTTCAATGAGTAAACCTACATGTATTGTCAAATCAAACCCATTTCTAGAAAATGGTCAATATCAGCACCTGATCTAAAGACAAGGTTATCTCATGTATTAAAACAACAACAGGAGATTCATCAACAAAGCAACTAATATGTCAATCTTAATATAAGACACTGTAGGAAAACTAAAATTGATATATTAAATACTACTCCACTGAGTAAGGATGTGACCCATAGACAACAGACACATGAGTTTCTCTCTCTCCAACAATCATTTAAATATTTTTTCTATGGAAACGAAAAAGTATAGCCGGAGATACAGAAGAAAGATAGAAATGTGCATTTAGGCATCTAAGTCCACAACTGATAATGAATATCAAACTGGTAATACAAAGCTAAGTGACAATGACTTAATCATGGGGCACCAAACAGGCAATATTACCAATCACTGTAATTTGTAATGGTCTTTGGGGGGTTTTCAGTGGATGACCAACACAGAAATGCCATCTGACACAGATATGAACACTCACCCACTGTTGAAAGGGACCCTGAAGAAAATGTGGCAAAGGCATAGAGGAAATGTTGAATCTTTTGAAAAAGTGAATGATATCAAAAAACTTTTCCATAACTGGTAAACCCAACTAGGTCAGGTATATAGCCCAAAGCAGCACGGAATTCAGAGTCAGAGGTTGGCAGGAAAGTTTGGAAAGCTGCAGTTTTTTAAAAAAACTGGCAATTTCTTGATGCTTAATAAAGCTGTCCTAAGAGGTATAATGTTTTTTCATTTGTGGAATGTTTACAGTTTGCTGCAAAAATTCACATGAATGAGGAACTGCACAGATGCACTTGAATGAAATAATCTTAAAAAATTTACAAAAAATCTAAGTTTCTATTTGAAAAATAACCATGTTATTAGGCCAAGATGAAACATGGTAAATGTAGTGTAAGTTCTGTCTCTGATTATTCACACAGCTAGTGGGAAAGTGATAGAAACATTTTTGTCTTAAAAAGGAAGCTTTGTCATTGCACTGACTTTTGCAACCTGACCTAGTAATTTAGAAAAATCATGTAGTAAAAGCTGTAAAATTAAAATACAAAATTCTGGTTTTGTATTTTAACAACAGTGGCTAAGTCTATCCAGAGTCCTTCATGATAGTGGAATGAAATGAAAAATTAATTCACTACCTTATTTACTTGCTGTGAGGGGGAACATTCCAGAACACAGCTTTTATACTTCTACAGTAATTATATTCCAAAGATAAAAAGAAAGTCAGTGCAGTTGTCTTCTTTTTTTTTTCCTTCTCTGTGCAATTCTCAGCTCCTATCCCACTCCCAAGAATCATAATTGAAATAATACTGGTTTGGAGACCCAGAACAGATTGGTCATAAACATCACACGACGTCTGTTGGACTTTGGTAGAGATATTTCCAAATGGCGTAGTAATGCACTGCAGCTGCTGTGGCTGAAAACACGTGCCAGATGGCATGGGCGAATGGAATGATGTAAACGAATCCACAAAAGTTATATTAAAACACACAATAAAACAACAGGCATGCAGATGTTCAGAGTCATACAGAGAGGTCTTGTTGGTGTTTTCATTGGGTACCTTGCCTATTTTAAGAATTCACCAACAAGTATTAGTTCTTCTGTTCCTCATTCCCATATAACTCACCAAAATCAGTGAGTTCTAAACACACACCCACAAAACAAACCATTTTAAAGCCACATTAGTACAAAATTTCAATGAGTAAACCTACATGTATTGTCAAATCAAACCCATTTCTAGAAAATGGTCAATATCAGCACCTGATCTAAAGACAAGGTTATCTCATGTATTAAAACAACAACAGGAGATTCATCAACAAAGCAACTAATATGTCAATCTTAATATAAGACACTGTAGGAAAACTAAAATTGATATATTAAATACTACTCCACTGAGTAAGGATGTGACCCATAGACAACAGACACATGAGTTTCTCTCTCTCCAACAATCATTTAAATATTTTTTCTATGGAAACGAAAAAGTATAGCCGGAGATACAGAAGAAAGATAGAAATGTGCATTTAGGCATCTAAGTCCACAACTGATAATGAATATCAAACTGGTAATACAAAGCTAAGTGACAATGACTTAATCATGGGGCACCAAACAGGCAATATTACCAATCACTGTAATTTGTAATGGTCTTTGGGGGGTTTTCAGTGGATGACCAACACAGAAATGCCATCTGACACAGATATGAACACTCACCCACTGTTGAAAGGGACCCTGAAGAAAATGTGGCAAAGGCATAGAGGAAATGTTGAATCTTTTGAAAAAGTGAATGATATCAAAAAACTTTTCCATAACTGGTAAACCCAACTAGGTCAGGTATATAGCCCAAAGCAGCACGGAATTCAGAGTCAGAGGTTGGCAGGAAAGTTTGGAAAGCTGCAGTTTTTTAAAAAAACTGGCAATTTCTTGATGCTTAATAAAGCTGTCCTAAGAGGTATAATGTTTTTTCATTTGTGGAATGTTTACAGTTTGCTGCAAAAATTCACATGAATGAGGAACTGCACAGATGCACTTGAATGAAATAATCTTAAAAAATTTACAAAAAATCTAAGTTTCTATTTGAAAAATAACCATGTTATTAGGCCAAGATGAAACATGGTAAATGTAGTGTAAGTTCTGTCTCTGATTATTCACACAGCTAGTGGGAAAGTGATAGAAACATTTTTGTCTTAAAAAGGAAGCTTTGTCATTGCACTGACTTTTGCAACCTGACCTAGTAATTTAGAAAAATCATGTAGTAAAAGCTGTAAAATTAAAATACAAAATTCTGGTTTTGTATTTTAACAACAGTGGCTAAGTCTATCCAGAGTCCTTCATGATAGTGGAATGAAATGAAAAATTAATTCACTACCTTATTTACTTGCTGTGAGGGGGAACATTCCAGAACACAGCTTTTATACTTCTACAGTAATTATATTCCAAAGATAAAAAGAAAGTCAGTGCAGTTGTCTTCTTTTTTTTTTTCTTCTCTGTGCAATTCTCAGCTCCTATCCCACTCCCAAGAATCATAATTGAAATAATACTGGTTTGGAGACCCAGAACAGATTGGTCATAAACATCACACGACGTCTGTTGGACTTTGGTAGAGATATTTCCAAATGGCGTAGTAATGCACTGCAGCTGCTGTGGCTGAAAACACGTGCCAGATGGCATGGGCGAATGGAATGATGCCATCGCTTTTGAAGAACATGACTCCTAGGCAGTATAAATCAAGCCCCCACAGACAAGTTCATGAAGTCCATCGGTGTTATTCATTGAGGTCACCACAAAGGCTGGAAAAAACCCCATTGTGAGACAGAAAAAGAGCTCAACCACTATACTTTTCATGGTGGAGAAATACATAAATGGTTCCTCCAGCTGCCATGAGCCTAATAAACCAATGCATATGAGATGCCAGGGGTCCAAGTTCAGGGATATTTAACCATGAAGTGTAAGAAACAGCAGTGAAGAAGTAGATAACCATTCTGTCACACATGTGAAAACAATGTTTGACTGTCCTTAAGTGGCTCTTTTTCCATGATACAATGTTAAATACTGTGGAAATGAAGAGAAGAGGGCACAGAGACCCATTCCATAGATCCTGGCTGTTACCTTTCCCCAGCAGTCATCAGACAGCCGATGGAGCAGGGCACTGCCCACGATGGCCTGCATGATGAGGAGGGCGTGTGTGTAGCAGTTAGCAGCATGTTCGTAACAAGTTGGTTTGTAGCGGCCATTGGCCAGGCCCAGTGGTTCATGAACCTGTGGAATTGATTCTTGAACCGCATTGATCCTCCGCTCCTCCTCGGGGGCCAGGAACTCAGTCTCTTCTGCTCTGGCGGCTGGGCAAGTGGCCCTCATGGGCTTGGGTTGCTCTGGAGGCCGCCCAAATGCCCAGCACTTCCCAGCACCTCCACCTCTGGGCACCTGCCTGTTTGGATTTGTTTTTATGTACATTATAGGTTTTTGGTTTGTGGTTGCCATGGGGTTTTTTAATATGATATCCTAGATAAATAGCAATTATTATAAAGTTGATGGTCATTAAGTTGGAATGCAT